AGCAAATGTTCGGAAGCCGAAAATAGATGAAATAAAAACAAATGTTCTATTGAAGAGGTAAATGTACCATGACTGGTAAAAAAACTTAGAATTACGCAAAGTTAACAAAAGACAATAAATCACCGGCAGAGACTTTCAAGTCACCGAACTGTGAAGAAGAAGGAGAAGAAGACGACGACGAAGAAGAAGAGAACAGTTCTCCTCCTTGAAGTTAAGGGTCATTAAAGACCAAAGACTTTTTTTAACTCATTTATTTTTTTGCTTTTAAAGCTCTCAAATAACAACGATGTACCCAACTGGTTCGTACACCTCTTCACTTTAGACAATTAACCAAACCCTAAAACCTTATCCTCGAAACATTCAACCCGATAACTGCAAATCCTTAACTAGCGCTGTTGTAGTTTGCCAAAAATCAAAATGTTTCCTTTTTTTTTCTGTTTTACAATTCACATTTACATAAGTATAGGCAAAAAGTAATTAAAAAAAAGAAAAGTTGTCTTACATCAATGGTAAGAAACTGATACATTCAATCCTGTTTCCGTTTTGTTTTTTAAAATAAAAAGAAAAAATTTACAACAGTAAATTTTATTCCTTATTTTTTCTTCTAATTTCCTGTGCTTTTTATCCTATTTTCTTTATTTTTTTAAGTTCTAAAAAATCTTTAAAAATGTTAAAAACGAATATTCTATAATTTGAATAATTTGTTTCTTTCCGGTTTTTTTGTATTTTATATGTCCCCTCTCCTCAGTACACTTTTACCTCCTTTATTGTATTAAGAATTACTCAAAAAGAAAAAGGTCTAAAATAAGAATCAATAATATTTAAATAATTAACCATATTTTTGACACAATGTAATAACAGTGAATGAATGAGAAAAAACAAAAACAGGAAAAAGAAAAAGAAAACAAATGTTGTAGTTAAAGAACATTACAGCTTACACAAAGCCATTATTCCAATAGTGTTGGAATAATCAGAGTCACAAAAGCTGTAGAATCTTTTTATGATGTAAAACAGAATTCAGGTACATAAAAATAACACAGATGGGGACAAATACATACGCACAAACACACAAACATTATACCAATAGACACATATATAATCATATCAATATCGTCAGTCTCAACAGCAACAGCAATATTACCAGTAGCAAAAGCAACAGCAACAACATCAGCAGTAGCAACATCAACAACAACAACAACAACAACGGCCATCAACGACAACAACAAATACTCTCTATATTATGATCAAATAATATGAAGTTGATAAAAGAAGATGAAAAAAAAAAA